AAGGGGAAATGGTTTCAAATGGAAGGAGGGAATGGTTAGATTAGATATTAGGGAGAAATTCTTCCCTGTGAGGTGCTGAGGCACTGGCACAGGTTGAGCAGAGCAGCTGTGGCTGCTCCATCCCTGGGAATGTTCCAGGCCAGGTTGGATGGGGCTTGGAGCAACCTGGGCTGGTGGAAGGTGTCCCTGCCCATGGCAGGGGATGGAAATAGATGATCTTTAAGGTCCTTCCAACTCAAACCAGCCTATGCTTTTATGAAATCACAGCTCAGAGCATCTCTAGATGTGCTTTAAGAAACCAGTGCTGGTTTTTACCCTGTGCCCTCCCAGCCAGGAGAGCTCTGCTGGTCTCCCTGGCTGTGCTGCTGACTGACTCTGATACCTGTGAGAGGAGCACTGAACTCGTTCTGCCTGCTCTGCTGTCACACACTGGGAGCTGCTTAATGCATGGGCATTGCTCAATGGTCTCTACATGCCTGGCAGATTGATTTCTGTGCTCTCCTGCAGCAGAAACAGCCTGGATGCATCTCAGTGGGACATTTTTCTGAGCTCTGAGGTTATTCACCTGTAGAGGTGGAAGAAGTGAGAAGGGCCTGGAAAGCTGTGAGATGTGCAGGGCAGTGTGGATTAGTGGGCAGAGCACAGAGAGGCAATTAGCAGGCAGGTTCCCCACTCCTAGTTTGGTTGGAGTTGTTGTGAGAACTGGGGCTAGTGAATCATGGGCTGGTTGAGCTAATTCCCCATGACTTCATCACTCATTGGGGTTTGAAATTCAACTCTGGAGCCTGGCTAAAGGAGTGCCCTGGGGTTGGCTTAACTGTTTCTAGTCTAGTTGGAAATTCACCCCATTTTTTTTCACTTTTCCATCCTGGGGAAATTTGCTTTTTAGGTATCTATTCATGGAGATTACTGTACAGCACATTGCACTGTGCAAACACTTTGTTCTAAGCAATAAAACACCCAAAGTTTTCTGCTACAATGTGAAAAATGGGGTTCAAAACAAGAAGAGAAGCATCACAGAATGGTAAATATTAAACACTAATAAAATCAGGGGTTTAGAAGGGTCACAACAACCATGATAAATAAGAGGATGAGCAAGGAAAAAGGCTGCAGAGTCATTTTGGGGGGGTGGTGGGGAAAAAGGTCATTTTGCTGCAAAATCAACCAGTTCCACAGTCCATGCCTCAGTTTCCCTAATTGCCACGTGGGGTTAGCAACCCAGACCTATTTTGCAAAGGTGTTGTCAGGATTCATTTGCGAAGCTTTGAAAAGCTGTGTGAGCTGGTGAGATGAAAGGCCCTGCAGATGCCAGGGGTGGGTGTGTGCTCTGAGTCAGAGGCACAGCCAGGGCTGTGTGTGATGGCCCTGACGCACAGCACTGCACACAGACACTTGTCCTCTGCAGGGAACATGGGGAGAGTTGGGGCAGAAATCACTCCTGATGCCTACCCAAGTGTGAAGTCATGCTAGAGAAATCAGGAGCCACCCTCTGGGAGGTGCAGGCCTAGAGACATCCTGGCTGCACTCACTGGGCTTTGGCTGCTAAATTGCCTCAAAGATGTGTGTGCAGAAAGGGTGAGATCCCACCTGGAACACTGGGTACAGTTCTGGTGTGCTCAGCATGAGAAGGACATGGAAGTGTTGGAGCAAGGTCAGAGGAGGCCACGAAGTTGATAAGAGGAGTGGAGCATGGAGACAGGCTGAGAAAGTTGGGGCTGTTCAGCCTGGAGAAGAGAAGGTTGTGTGGAGAACTTAGAGCACCTTCCAGGAGCTGAAGGAGCTCCAGGGAAGCTGCAGAGGGATCTGTGTTAGGAACTGCAAGGACAGGACAAGGAGTAATAGGTTCAAACTGAAAAAGGGGAAATTTCAGTTAGATATTGTGAAGAAATTCATCCCTGTGAGGGTGGTGGGACACTGGCACAGGTTGCCCAGAGAGGCTGCAGATGCCCCAACTCTGGCAGTGTTCAAAGACAACTTGGATAAGGCTTGGAGCAACCTGCTCTGGTGGAAGGTGTCCCTGCCCAGGGCAGGTGGTGGAATAAGATGATCTTTAAGGTCCTTCCAACCCAAACCATTCCATGATCCTAAATATTCTAACTTTGGTATGGAATTGGAGCACAAGTTTTCTAACAGAGTTCCCTTTAACTAACACACTCCCCTTTAACTCCCATTCTCCTCCTGTGAGCCCCAGGCAGAACCAGCCAGCACTGGCACCAAGACAACCATGTGCACCCCAAGTTTCAGCCAGGTGTGACCAGCATTTATCCCAGGAGAGGCCAGGAATAACAAGAGAGAGGAGGGCCCCATCTGCAGACAACTTTTTGGCAGGCAAAAGCCACGTTGACATGGGATGAGGTGCAGAGAGATGCTGGGGGAAAGAGGAGGCTTGGCAAAGCAGCAGCCCCAGGATGAGCTGCAGCAGAGGTGATGCCCTTGAGCTCTCTCTGGCCACATGTGGCCCTGCCATGGTTGCACAGGGATTTGCAAGCAGGATGTGCCCAAAGCACTTAGGCTAAGCACTTGGGATGCTGCAAGGCTGAACTGAGGCTCAAAGGGGATCAGTGAAAGTGGCATTATGCAGAGGTGAGTGGTGACAGCAGGGAATGTTCCTGAATCACACCTGAGCAACATCCTTCCCTTCCTGCAGGCTCCAGGGAGGCTCAGGCCAGGCTAGAAGCAAACAGCTTCTGCTAGGAATTAGTTTTTCTAGAATCCAGTGGTGCAGCACTGACACAGGTTATCCAGAGAGGCTGTGACTGCCCCAGACCTGGGAGTGTTCCAGGCCAGGCTGGATGGAGCTCTGAGCTACCTGTGCTAGTAGAAGATATCCCTGCCCATGGAACAAGAAGATCTTTAAGTTCCTTTCCAAGCCAAACCATTCTGTGACTCTGATTTACTCTGGCTTTGCATCAGTAAAACCAACATCAAAAAATTCACTCCTGAATCTTTTACACCTACTCCAAAATCTTACCAAACCAACCAACCCAAGGCCACCTTCTTCCACGTTAGATCTCTACCTAGAGATGTGTTTTGCTGCTTAAGCATTAATGTTGGCTTGGAAAAGCTCTGCTGAGCCTCCTCTGTACACGTGAGAACAAGCACCTCCACCCTGCAGCCTGTTTAATTACCTGGAGATGTACAGGACTGTTGATGCTCTAGAGAACAGCTCAGCCCAGAGAGCCAAGGGGGAAAGAAATACATAGATGTCAGTCAGTTTTTCCTTCAATAAAATGGGGTTTGAAGAAATAGCATTGCCCATTCCTAGGCCACAGAGTGACTTGTGACCCAAACACTTTGCTGCTAGTGGCAAGAAATATCCATTAGAAATGACTGCAAAAGGCTCAACCTTTCCCTGCAACTATTAGCCAATAAATACCATATCCTGAACCATTTCTCAGGGAGACAGAGCCATAATGACATCCAGGCAGCAAGAGGGGATGGATCTATGTACCAGAGAGCCCAGAAAAAGACAATTCACTTCCCTTTTCTCTCCTTTGGCCCAGACAAAGTCCTTAGAAACCTTATCTGTAAGACTTGCTCCTCTTTCCTTCTGTCAGATCCAGAATCTACACTGTTCCTGCTCTGGGCTCCCTCTGTTTCCCCCACACCTCAAAAACACCTTTAAAATGCAGACTTGGATTTTTTTCCTCCACTACATAAACCCCTTCCAACAGGGGTTTCATTAGGGATTGTAATGAGATATTATTACAGCTAAAAATTCCATTCTGCAGCAACAACTCCATTGGATTCTGTGAGAATTAAATCAAGCACAAAGCTTTGGATTCATTTCCATCCTGGGCATTAATCTCAGGGAATTCTCACTGAAATCAGAGCATCATCTGTGCTAAAGTGATATGATATGAGTGGAAGATCAACCACCTTCTTTGGAAGTTGCTGGAATTTACTAGTGCTTATAAACAGTTCAGAGATCTGTGATTCCAACAAGCTCAACATTGCCCTGGAAGATATCTAGTGGAGATAAATCTGTTTGCAAATCCTTCTCAGTTCTCTTTTCTTACAAGGAATATTTTGGCCATGTAGCTGCAAAATAGCTTCTCTTCCAGGTCCTGGCAGGTTCCTCTGAGCTCTCCACACAACCTTCTCTTCTCCAGACCTACACCTGAACCCTTATCTCAGAGCACCCAATGGGGATTTATCCTCTTGGTCATACTTTGGAGCTTGCATGGCTTGTGGACAAAACAGGACTAGCCAATGGTGCTGTTAGGTCATAAGTTGGACTTGATGATCTCAGAGGTCTTTTCCTATCTGATTGATCCTGGGATTCTGTGAATGTTTCCTCCAGACCAGCTGTATCCTGATTCCTATTGCCAGGTCTAGATGGATGGACCCATCAGCACATCCAAATCAAGATAATAGTCTTTTAAACCCAGTATTAACCCTAAGTTTCCCCTCCTTCCTGAAGCCAGCAAGCCCTGAGGGGAGCCCAGCTGAAGAATGCTTTATTCTAGGCGTTCATTTTAATTACCACCCTAATTATTTTGGTGCATGGCTCTGACCCAGTTAGCAAACCCAGCTCGTGGTCTCTCCCAGCCATCAATGTGAGCAGGTAACCTCAGCTCCTGGCAACAAGGGGCAAAATTATTTTTGACCCAAGCTGCCCAACTGGTTGCTACATCTTAATGAAAATGCTTTTTTTCCAAAAGCCATTTCTATGTATATAAACAGCCCTTCCTCCCCAACCTGGTTAGACAAGAATGTTCCTGGGTGTGGACTGCCTTGTATAATTAACTGCACAGCTGTAGCTTCTGATCCCTCCACGTCTGCTGCTTCCTTTCTCCCCTCCATCTACCCAGCCTAATCCAGGAGTTCTCCCTCCTCCTTGCAGAGCTCCAGGTGCGTCATTTGGGCTGAAAAGTTTCCTGCATTCCACAGTGATTCCTTGCTGAGACAACCACCAGGCAGACGTTTCCCACTTTGGAGAGGGTTGGGAGGAACTGGAGGAGCAAGCGAGCAGCGAAGCCATTCGCCCTGGTTAGACCATGGAAACAGGGAGTGCAGCAAGGACAAATGGGACCACTGGCAAAGCAGAGGAAGTGAAGAGCCCAACTACTCCTAAAAAGGAAGAAGAGGCAAAGAAGACCACAAGCCCTGGCGGAGGTGAGAAAGAAGCTATAAAGGGCACGGGCGGTGCTGCGTTGGAGACAGGGCAAATCAAGAGCTCCCTCTTCTCTGGGAGTGACTGGAAGAGGCCCATCATTCAGTTTGTGGAGTCATCCGATGAGAAGAGGTCAACCTACTTCAGCATGGATTCTGCAGACTCCAAGAAGATGCAATATGCCAGTGGACAGATAGCAGACCTGAGGAGACCAGCCCTCTCCTTCCCAGAGAAAGGAGACCTCAGGAAGTCCCTCTTCTCCTTGGATTCCAAAAAGAGCTTCCTGCCTAGTGATGGGGAAGGGAGGAAGTCCTTGTTCTCTGGGGGGCAGATGGGGGACCTGAAGAAATCTTCTCTTCCCTTGGTGGAGACAGGAGACCTGAGAAGACCCTTCAACAAGCCTGACAGAGCAGCTGGCTCACGGCCCAGGGTGAAGCTGGAGGATGTTCTGTGTGATTCCTGCATCGATAACAAGCAAAAGGCTGTCAAGTCCTGCTTGGTGTGTCAGGCTTCCTTCTGTGAGCTGCACCTCAAACCTCACCTGGAGGGAGCAGCTTTCCGGGACCACCAGCTCCTGGATCCCATCAGGGACTTTGAAGCAAGAAAATGTCCTGTGCATGGCAAGACCATGGAGCTGTTCTGTCAGACAGACCAGATGTGCATCTGCTACCTCTGCATGTTCCAAGAGCACAAGAACCACAGCACAGTGACAGTGGAGATCGAGAAAGCAGGAAAAGAGGTAATGCTGTTTTTATTACATCTGCCCATCAGATCTCAATATTCCACCACAGCTTTGGCTCTCCAGCCTGGAATTTCTCCTCAAACCATGCCTGAGATGCAGGCATGGATGCAGGGGTGGTGGTTGGGAAGTGTTTAGTGCAGAATTGCTGTTTTCTGGCTGCTGCTGCTGTGGGATTGTTCTCCTAATGGTTGGTTACAGTGCTGGTGTGGTGCCACACATTGGATTTGGAGGGGGTGGAGAACCTGATTTCCACTTTTGCTTGCACCCCTGACTCTCAGCAGAAGCTCTACATGTGAAATTTTAAACAGGCTCAAGTTTGATGGTGTTTGTGTAGTGTTACTCACAGAAAGGTGAAGCATCTCTGAGGTTCAGGACCTGCAGAACAGAGGTGGTCAGAGCAGTGGCTGCTAAAGGTCCCAGTAGGTGCTAGGATGGTGTTGGAAATTGCCATCTCAGCTTCCCAGAGTGAGATGAAGGGTTTTTTTATCTTCTATTTTGTTCTGGCTATAATAGTGTCAAGCCACACCTATGGGAAGAGCCTTTTGAAGCTTAGATGAAGAAAAAAACCCAAACCTGGTGCAAGCACAAAACATAATCACGTCCCCTCAAGTGTTACTACAATAGGGTGGAGGGGATGGACATGTAAGGAGATGTGGAACAGTGCTCACTAATGAAATGTCTTTCACCTTTGTTTGCTTTCTGGGTGGGTGGATGATGATTCCACTAGCTGTAGGACAGAGCAGGGTCTCACCACAGTTTGCACAGCCCCAGAGTAAAAGCATATCCTGGTTTAGAAAGTTTCTAAGCAGCCAGGCCAGGAGAGAGGAGAGAAAGGAGAGCTGTGAAATGATAAGGTAAACCAGTTTGCCTCCAGTCACACAGTCAGTCCATGGCAGAAACTGCAAGGGCACTAAGACTGCTCAATCCTATTGCTAGGTAAAGCCCAAGCTGTGATGTGGTGAACAGGCAAATACAAGTCCCTGCTGGTAGAAATTCTGCACTTACCCTTAGTCGGAAGAGGAGTTTAACTCTAAGGTGCTAGGGAGATTTAGCTACCTCAGAAGGCTGAAAGAGCATCTTAGGTAGAGCTTATCTGTCTTCCTGTTTGGTCTTAACCATGTCATCTCCTACTTGCAGCCTTGCTGAAAGCAGACAAAGCTTCTTCCATGGCTCAGCCAGTCTTACATTCCTGCAGGGCTTGCCAGCCTGCTGTTGGCTCCATAATTGCTGCTTCTTGTGGTTTTGATGTCAGCTCTGAACATCACATAGTCCTAACTCTGGTGGAGCCTTGTCTAGTGTCTGCCAGAGTGTCCAAACCCTCTGAGCTGTTCCCACTGCAATGAGGTTAACAGTTGCTTCCTGAGGAAGCAAAGCTAGGCAGATCCTTCTTCCTGGGGCTGGATGAACCTACAACACCTTGTATTTAAAGAGACAACTGTAGCTGGGCAGAGAAGACTTTACCTAAGATAGAAATGATGTTTAATTTCTCCCTCAGAGTCCTTGTGCCACTTGGGTTAGCTCCATGCTTTAGCTCCTGCACTGTCCTGTGCTGATTCTGCTGCTGCCAAGCCTAAAGGATTTAGAGCTTTATCAATCTGAATCATACACATGTGCAAGTTTCTCTTGCCAACGAGTCTGCTCATGTTGGAACTTGAGCGAGTGTTCGCTCAGACAAAGCCAATTAACACGAAAGCTGTTGCTTACAAATGTTTATGCCTAGCCCTGATTTATTCACCAGAGGTGGAGCCTTAGCAAGAACCACAAGGAGGAATGAACATTTCCAAGCCCCTCGTGTGTATCACCTATTCTTGCCGAGTCTGGCAAACCAGGCAAGTTGGAATGTGACCATGAATTGGAAGAGTGGCTGAGTGAGGCTGATGCTGATGGATTTTGGGGATGAAGTGAGCAAAAAAACCCACTCAGGGCATCCCTGTCCTACCTCTTTTTCACACTTGGCATCCAAGCAGCTCCAGGGTACCTTTAATACCTGCAAATTTGCTATCTGTCCCATTGGACTCATGGCCAGAATACATAGAATCATAGACTTTTAGGGGTTGGACTGGACCTTAAACTCATCCAGTTGCCCTGGGCAGGGACACCTCCCACCAGGGCAGGTTGCTCAAGGCTTTATCCAGCCTGGAATGAGCACTGCCAGGGTTGGGGCATCCACTATTTCCCTGGGCAACCTGTGCCAGTGTCTCACCAACAACTGTATCCAGACAAACTCTTTTACCAGTGTCACTTGGCAAGGAATAACTGGTTTATCTGCAAAGATTTCCTAGTCTCTGGCTTGAATGTGACTCCAGGGGTTCCAGGAGAAGTGATGTGTGTGCTCTATGTTGTGCTGGACTTAGGCCTGACTGAGTGCTTAGCAATTTGGTGGCACAAAACAGGCACAGAATGAGGAGTAATATGCCTAGTTTAGATACATCTGTCCCTTTTGTACTGCAGAATTAATGCAGGTTTCAGTCCCTTTCATCAGTCTATCTTTGCCTATCAAGCCTGTAGGGAA